ACCTGTGCCGACATGGAAAGGTTCCTAGCGACTTTCCCACAGGCTCGGTGGTGGGACTAAACAAGCACGGACGATCGCCATACTCCGAACACCTCTTTACCTAATATCTTCTGCAATCCTTCCGCACGTGGCGGATGTCTTGAGATTTGTCGCAAGAAGAACTGGTGGGTCTAACATCGATCTTAAGACCGATCTTGTTCTCACCATGTTGTTCTCACGCAAAAACCCCTCACCTGCGCCAAATTCTGTGCATGGCCCAGCAGTCCAAAGCCCGTGACGTCTGTGGCACCGTGGGCACCGAAGCGGCCCAGTAACGCCGAAGCGTGGAGGTTCAGCCGCATCATTGCCTCTTCAGCCTTCCTGACGTGTTTAACACGTGTTGGGACTTGGTTCAATGATCTACCCCGAAAAACGCAACATCAGCTAAAGGCTGGGAGTTTTGGTGACTCATGTGACTTGATGATTCAGCCCCAAAAACAACCCAGAAAGCTGAAAGAGGCACCAACCAGCCAACCAACAAAAACATAGTGAGTAAAACTCACTGCCCCGCCTGCCTGCCCTCCAGTCACCTTCCACCCCTGTCGGTGCTGATCCGAGCGTCTGCACCGCACGCAGCGCGGTGTCCAGGTCGATCATCGCTGAGGCCTTGCGCCACTTGGCTTCGTCCCCAAGCCATAAGGCCAAATTGGCTGCGATCCTGACGTCGGCGAAGTCTCGGATTTGGCTCGTCGAAAAATGTTGAAAAAAACAAGGACGGCTTCTGGATACTTGGGGCGTCGAAAGGCACGCTGGTATTTGGAGAGATCGGTGATTTGGAGGTCTTCCAAGGTTCATTTTACTGCCGAGGCTCTGAGAGCCCAAAGGCTTTGTCAGCACCAAGACATCGCCACTGACCAAGCCATCTGCTCGGATGATCTCGTGCTCCACCAACGTGGTGCTCGCACAACCTCTCGCCATGGGTTGGAGCAACTGGCTTGGCGGTGTGGTGGGCTAAACACCGTGGTGCATGGGGAAGGCCTGTAACAAGACTCTGTACTAAAATTGATCTGAAACGGTATCCACTTGATTTATGTCCTTTCTCTTATGTGTGGCCTCCAACCTAATACCGATGGCCTCCACTTGTTTCCTTTCGAACTGAAACTCATTGAATCCCTCCAGTTCCCCGCGCCTCCCAGAACCGGCCATGGATTGAAGACGGTCTGGCCACCGGTCACCCGGCAGCCCGCCAGCGCGCAGGCATCATTGAAGCCACGGATCATGGTTTTGGTGACCTCAAAGAAACATGAACAGCCACCCAGAGGTGAAGTTGAAAAGAAGGCTTGGACACGTCTAGTAGCTATGCTTTCTAGAGCTCCAACCACATCCTCACGTACAAGCTCGAACACCCTAGGATGCCCAACTGCCTTTCTCAGAAGGCAGTTTGGAGCCTGAGGGACTGGCAGGAACACCGCCAAAAGCTTGGGGCACCTACTGAACTCTGGTGGGCTTCAACGGGTCATGCGTACATAACTAATTATAACATATATATATATTATATATCATTGTCATATGTATATATAATACACACACACACTCATTGAAGCAATCATGGAAGTGGATCATGGCCCCTGGAAAGATCATGTCCAAGGAATGCCTTTCCAAGCTCAACGTCCGGTGGGTTGTGGGGCACGTGTCTGAAGGCAGCAGCAAAAAAAGGGTCACTTCACATCCGAAGACCCATATTGCAAAAGTCATCAGACGGCTACAGTGCTTGGAAGCCTCTTGAGATAGTTGTAGACTCTTGAATATGTTCACCCTCCCATATGCAAAGGTGTTACAATCCAACATGGGGGGTGAAATGCAATCAAGAGTCTACATTCTACACTACATCTTGAGGACCACATCTTGATGCGAAAACATGTCGCCACCCGTTGTTCTCCTCCAAGCGGCGATGTCACGATGCTCGTCCTCCATCTTGGTGGACACCGACAAGATCATCAGCATCGTGTCCACGCGATGAGCACCAATGGCATAGAGATCCGACAGAGTGTTCGCGCAAGCAATGCGGCCCTGCTTGTACGGGTCCAGCGAGATTGGTGAGAAGAAATCCTTGGCAGTGGTGGATATCAAATGTCTAGAACAATAAACAAAAAACAAACAACACAGGGCCATGGCGTTCGTGAATATTGCTACACTGGTTGTCCATATGATAGACGTTTGATGAGCAAAATGCAAACACCAACCTGTTCCTTTTGAAAGTTTGGTGTATCAGTGCTCCAACATGTAGCAACTCCTCCTAGCACCTGGGCCAATGTTGAAGAACCATAACCAGGATCCTCTCACTTGATACATCTCATCTATCACGGCTATTCATGCAGCAGGCCCATGTGGTTCATGTAGTTTCATGTGGTTCTGTTGGTGCAATATCTGCGATGTAACTTTAACAAACCAGAAACAATACTCCAGAATTTTGGATCCCAACAGCGGTTGTAGATTCTTTGGTTGGTGCAATTGTGGAAAATCCTAGGGTTGAGACACAGTGACCCTGGAGCTTGCCATGGATTGAAAATAGGTTTATTTTCTGAAAAAAAATATGAATCTGATGAATTCCTGAAATATGAAATGAGAAAACCCAATTTTAGCGAATATAAAAAAATATGAAAATAATGTAACTAGAAAAAAGACAGGATCCCCTCAAGGAACATTTCAGGAATTCTTCAAATCAACCATTTTTCAATCTTTGGCAAGCTCCAGGCTGATTTTCATATTTTTTTTGATTATTTTTTGCATTTGTTTGTGTATTCTGTCCACTTTTTTCCATATTATTTTCATATTAAAAAAAAGCGACCATATTTTTTTCATATTTTCAGAATCATATTTTTTTCATATTTTTTTCAGAAAAAAACCTAAAGCCAAGAATCCCTATCCTCCAGGGATACGTATGTCTCAATCCTAGGGCAAATCAAGCGTCGGTGGTGCTTGCCAGATAGATCTTCTCCGATTGACCCCCGGCAGCCCCGATAGGAATTAAAGAAACGTCAGGAGAGTCCTCGGTCAGCATGCGGCCATCACCAATTCCTGGGAGTCGACGGGTCGCGACTTCTGAGGCGAAAGGACGAACGAACGAACGAACTCAGAACAGCGCTGAAGTCGGAGGCGAAAGGACGTGCAAAACGGCAGAATCAATGCAGATCATTTGAATCCTTTTGATATGCCTTTGTAAAGAAAACTAAGATATTTCCACATTCCGAATGGTATGCTTGGTGAACTTGTTAGCGTCTCAAAAGAAGGGTCATTGATAAATGGAGAGACCGTTGGGCTCAGTGTCCGCTTGCGCCCATCCCCTGCGCTGAAGCCACACTCCTATTGTACACCAACCAACGGAGCCTCTCCATTGACACTGAGCCCAACGAAAAGGACCACCAATCCAGCTCACGTAGTGCAAAAGCAGGACACAAAACAAACTATAGACATCTATATAGACTATATTATTGGCATCCGGCAAGTGATTGGATGAATTAATTACATTGCTCAGTATACTCCCAAACTGCCAGGGTGAACCATGTGAGTCTCCCTGAATATCACCTTCCAATCAGCTACATCATCCTACCTGCCCTTTCCATCTAACAATGCACTGCGTTTGAAAGCACTCTACATCAAGAATGCAGCCCCTGCTTCTGAAGACATGTGTCTAAATATTCTTTAATCAAGGCTCCTCCCAACCAGCTGATGAGGGTCTCTTGCCCCACTTTGCAGCCTCAGCCCTTCCGTTCAGAGAAGCTGGTCAGCACGAAGTCCCGTGGCAGTCCCAGTGACGCGGGGTCAAAGAGGCGCCGGCGGTACTCTTCACACATCGGCCACGGTGAACTGCGGGATGTGATTGGATCGGTAAGAATAGAGCCAATGATACTGAAGGGCTGGTAAGGTAAGTACTATTGGCTCAACAAATGTTCACTGAACACATCATACAGTTATCATGATCTCATGCAGGTGCATGTCAAAGGCTGGTAGAGTCATATAGAGTCAAGTTCCTAACAATCCTTGAAGCAAACTTTAGCTGTGAGCTGAAACGCTACAACAACAGTTGTTGCAAACAGCCAAAACCTTCCAAAGCAGCTTTCTACTCACAGCAGCGGCAAGGCCAAGGCAAAATCTCTTCAGGGCACCTGCCTCACCATGCCTTCCTGTGCTACATGGCAGCTTGTGACAGTTTATGGGCTCCAAAACACACAGAAGGTTCAGGTACTTCCTTTAGGGCTAAAGGACATCCGATTCGGATGGTCCTCAGTAAATCAACTTACGTTGAACATCTCACGGTAGACTCCGGCCACTTAGCACTATAGGCAGTGCTCTTTTCCTGTCCAACAGCACCAGCTGTGGTTTGAGAGGGCTTCTACTCTCAAGCTCTGATTTGATTTGGTGGCAGGAGATCAGTTTGGCTGAGGAAATCTTTGGTCAAAACTTGGAGCCCCAACACCAAGTATCTTGACCTTCCAGGCAGGTCAACTAAGGTCTACAGGTTTTTTTGACCCAGAGCCAGGTCCCACCCCTTTCCAACATTGTCCCTCCAACATCATCCAACGATGGTCATTCGGACATTTGCGGGCCAAGCACTAGGAAATCCGGTAGATGAACCTCCAAAGTATCACGAGAGGGTCGATCGGGCTAATCGTTTGCCCAAACACTCCATGGGTCTGGAACATAGAAATAACTATGACTATTGTTATATATAATATATTATATATTGGTAATTCAACGTTTTGTGACATGTAATTATATGTATTTAGTGGTACATGTTTTTATACATCTTTAGAATTCTTTATATACACATTATTATTACACTCCGTGCAACAAACATGCAAGTGGACGACCCCCCCACAGGCCATGCCATCCACTTCCATGATTCGTAACTTGACCCCTTTTTCGAACCCCAGGACAAATTGGTATACTATGCCAGTCAGTTAACAAGTCGCTGGTCGCTACCAAGTCTCAGCTTCGCCCCCTCAGTTTCGGCCTCCCGCCTCTTCGGGCGTCATGCCATCCCGAAGCCATTGCATGCGACGAACTTCCTGGTGTCAATGGGACCACCGGCGGATTTGGAGCATCCACCAGGACCATCCTTCCTATAGGTGGTCTCCGGGAGGAAAAAAACAGAAGTGTACAGTGGCACAAATGTCCAAGAGGTTGGTGGTTTATATGGACACCCATCTAAAAGACATCTAGGGGTGCCAGTGCCATCTACTCTGAAACCACTGTACTTATTGTAATTAAGGTAGTCATAGGTAGTCTATTGAAAAACATGGGTGAAGGTCTGATGGTCCATTCAGATGATGAAAAATGGATCACTCCCCATCAAGACCTCTTCGAGATCTGCAAAACCTGTTTGACCACAAAGAAAAATAGACATGAGTTTCATAATCTTTCCATATCTTTCCAATCTCTTCCACTCTCATTCCGCTCCTACCACCTGCCTCTTCCCCCCCAAAGGGCCCGGGAAGATGCTCCTCGTCTGGATCTAAGCTTTCGGAGTAGGAGACCAAGCTCCGGAGTGAGGGAAAGGAGTCCACCTGCACACGGGCCGAGGACGGTCGAAAGGAGCGCCAACTACGGCATCCGCCGCGTGTCCGTCGCGGCGGGTCGGATCGAGCGAGGTGGGTCGGTGTTCTTGTGGACCATACTGACCGAGCAAGGGCCTGGGTCGAGCTCGAGCACGTGGCCTATACTTGTTGACCAGTCGAGTAAGTATAGGCCACTTGCTGTGAAACTGCCATCTATGAAGCACCATGAAGAACCCGCGGATCGCACCGAAGCCATGGTATCACTGGCACCTCCAGCCGCCAGACGAGATGCATCGCACCATGGGGGGTCCCTTAGATACCTCAGACCGTCGATACCTCCAGGAATATTTATCTATTATTCCTGGAGGGTTGAACATCGATTTGGATAATTATTCCACAGGGTGGGAACCTCCTAGAATAGTTTCTGGCATCTTAACATAATTTAATAATCCTATAGGTTTAGGTAAATAGTCCAAGGTGTCACGACATCACTCTTGGAAAGATTTGAAGCAGCGTGCAATCTTGAACAGAAACAACTTGACACACATCCAAGTCTCGCTCAAAATATTCCAGCAGTATGTGACCTCTAGATTACATATGGAATATATTTTGTAAACTGACCAATCCCCAGTCTCTTCACCTAATGTACTGCCAAAATCTGTTGGATCCATTTCAATATATGTATTTGAATCAAAAATCAAACATCCCAAGCTCATATCCAAAAGCTTATTGTGTCCAAGAGTTTTTTCTGCATTCAAAAAGACGACATCGATTGATATCGACTGTTTTGATTCGACTTATTAATTTACCTCTATTTGGTATGGACCCCTCTGGATCCCTCTGAGATGATCGCTCAGTTTGGACAGCGCTTTAACATATTTATACCTTAAACAATTATTCCACGACAAGCTCCACGGTGGGGTATGGCATACCTGCATGGAAAAATATTCCAGAAAAAATATTCCAGCAAAAATATTCCAATACGTAAGGGTATGCCTGGAATAATTTCCCAAGGCACCCCCCATATCGCACCTCCAGTAGAGTGACCATGGTGAGGAACATGGGATCTCTCCGCTGGAGGCCCAGGCGATCAAATTCCTCGAAAGCAGCTAGCGAGCGTCTTGCTTGACAACACAAACATCGTGGGTATGGAACAAACGCTGGGCAAACAACAATGAGCTGGATATGGTCAACAAGCGGGTCGAACATGCTCGTTCGCTGTGTTTCACCTATAGACCAACACCATGGTCGTTCGCTGTGCTTGTACGTCTCGGGTGGCGCGAGCTGTGACAGTTCTTGGTCTCAGCAGGTCTTGTCTCAGTCTCTCCTGCTTCTGGAAGTCGTTCACGGGCAAGAGCGAGCCTTTGAGGACTTAGGTTTGTCGGGGTGGGGGGTCGGGGAGGAGGACTGGTCAAAGTCCAAGAACAGCAGCGGGGAAAAGCATCAAAGCCTAGACTCATACGCTACACTGATGAAGAAAGCTCTTGGACCACCTGAGCAAAATACTCCACGATCTGTCCACTTGTATGGGATATGTCGATTCTCTGGCTGCGAACATCCCATAATCCTACCATCTAAGCCTAAGCTGATCCTAGATGCCAGGAGCCCCGATCGTAGCGTCCGATCGCTCCGTTCGTAGCGATGCCCTTTGTTACGTTCGTAGCGTCCGATCGCTCCGTTCGTAGTAAGGCCAGGAGCCATATGAAGACCCCCCAGTCCAACGGACCCACTGGAGGATTGACCGAGACACCGTTCATGCTGGTGAAGGCATGCAGCACCGCCGAACGCATGTCCAGCCACTGCACCTGGAGCCGGACCGCGGAGAGGATCCAGACGTGCAAGCAAGTTGTTTGGGGTGAGTTATGGGAAACCCATTGAACTGCTACTTTAGTTCTATAATGCAGTAACAAGTTAAAATGATTCTAATGGTTTCAATGTCTCTAAACAAGAGTCCTCGCCAGGACATTTTGGTAAAACAAAATGCGGCATTTGCCGTGACAGGGTATAATCACATAAGCTCATCTTTGCCGAACCAGCCCCTCGCCCTCCGGCCCTATGCATCCGTCGTCTTGGACGACGCTTTGCGCCGTTTGCACGTTTCGCAAAAACCGAAGCGCACCGCCGGCCCATGTTGTCCATTCCTATCTAACGGTCCTTGGACAAGTGCCAGGCAATCAGCGCAATTAATTGTCACCAGCATTGGGTCCTGTATACGTTACAATCTGTTACTTTTACCTGTCTTACAAACTCTTGCAAAGAACAGAGACTCCACATATGGTTCCACATCTGCAGCAGGACTCACGAACTGGATTCGGAACGATTGGACCTTTCTCACAGAAACCGAACGGGGCGTCCAGCTGCATCACATCCACAGTCTGGTCAATTGGGTGCTCTCATCAAGCCACAAAGTGGCCAAGTGGGTGCACGCGTGAAGCCCATTGGCTTGAGCACACCCGAAGATCTGGTCGAAACGGTCCTTGCGTATTTGCTTGATTTTGATCGGAAGCCCAATTGAACAGGAAGTTCAAGACTTGGACACGCTAGTAGGTTCCCATTTCAAGTATGCACTACAGATCCGTTGATTCTCCGATTTGGGGATAACCTGAGAGAGGAACTTTTGAGGTGTTGAGGATGGTGTGGGTGTGGGGTGCTTGATGGTGCTTTTGATTCAAGAGATGTTTATAGAAGTACTGCGCCCACCCAACACACACAGACACACACTTCTCGCAAGCAGTCAAACACTCATGTGACTTCACTTGAAATATATCTTCATATGTTCTGATTAATCCGCACAATTTTGCCGCTCCTGTGGAGGGAAGATCGGGTTCAAGAAGTACATCCCCAAGAGGTATCCTGCAACTCCGCCTAGAGCTGCTCCAGCCACGCCGCAGGCAGCAAAGGTCCGCTTCTTCCTTCAGGGGGAACAGTGTTGTACAAAGCTTGAGATGGATGAGCTTTCTGCATGTGAGGTGATCGCGGAGTGGAGTCCAAAACTGAACAAGTTATTGGGTCAGTCTCTGAGAAGTGCTTGTAAAAACTTAAGTTAAAACTTAAAACCATCTGTCTGCATAGAGACTGTTGATGAGCCCGGCCCATCGAGCCGTCTTGACCCATTCCGGCAAAAAGGCCTGCTGGTCGTACAACGACTACGACACATCGCACTGATGGCAGTGCCAACTCCCCAAAAGCCCAGCAAAGCACCCAGGAGAACGCCCAGAACGGCGCCAACCACGATGCCCCAAACTCCACTGCGACCTTGGAGAACGATACCCCAGAAGGCCAGGGATGGGCTTTTGGGGAGGATCACGTGACAAGAGAAAGTCCCTGTTGTGGGACTGCAGTAAATTCTATCGTCCTCGTGTGATTCTTGCATCAACACCTCACTGACTGTCCAAAGAGCATCCCAATAGTGTTGAAACCTCAAGCACTGTCAAATGGATGGTTTTCTGCTGTTCCAGGCCGGTTGATCAGCAAACTGAAAAAACATGTTTATCGGTCATGGACGAGAGTTGGAAGCCTATCGAGATGTATAATGACTACGCTGTTTTCAGGGCCTCTATTTTCATGAAATTGCACATGGCCCCCACACCAATCTCTGCAAAGAATCAGAGTCACTGTGCTTCCGAATGCACTTTCGAACTGCTCCCATTTGCATAATATATGTAGAACAATGGTCATGGTCAAATGAGTCTAATAGTTGGATAACACCCTCCTCCCTTTCAGCCCAATCATCAATATATATATATATAGATAAGACTGGTCTTTGTAGTCAGCAGATCCAGGTACATCTTTGTTTTATCAAATCCGACCTCCAGCTCTCTGCAGTGCCAGTGGCCCACTTCAAAGTAATAGAGCCGGATCCGATCCCCAGTGGTGTCCAGGTAAGCAAAGCCATACTGCGGGGCACACATGGCGTCGGCCATGCCATGGCCGCCAATCATGAAGCCGTACGCGCTTTGCTCATCTTTCGCCTGCGCGAAACACGCGAAAGGAGAGGGTCGAGCGTGCGTCGAGCTTTCAGGTGTGGTGAAGGTGAATAGGATCGATTCGATGGGAGGTGTATGAATAAAACGGGAGAAAGTCGACCAAGCAGTGGGATGACATCTGCCTGTTTCAGTACAAACCCTACTAAGATCTATTAACATGCCCATACCAACAGTCACCCTTGGTTGGACTGTTCGTTCTGTTTCCTTGGATATCTTGTCCTAAGCGAGACTTGAGGTGGTGAAGTAGTGTCCAGTTTGCACCCACCTAAAGAGGTCCATTATTCTTCCAATGAATCTCATTCACACATTCCCATGCGCCCACAAGGCCCCCCTAACAGCCAATCACGCCGACATTGCGGCACTTGTGGAGCCCGAATACCTTCACCCTCGGGGCACCTGCACATAGTTGCCTTAGGCGGGTGGCGACATGTGAGCAGAGATTCATCGAACAGTTGGCCACTTGGCCGCTATTTTCCATGGTGCAAACCTGATAGTAATGTTTTGGTACCGGTACGGGCGCGGGAAGAGATAGTTTCAGAACACCGTGGCACGGTATTATTAGAACATGCAAAAGAGTGGTTGCAACCCATTTCTGGTTCCAAACATTTATATAGTTCTGACTAAAAAGTTACATTTCTTGGAACTTTGGATCCGTCATTCCAGTTCAATGACGTCACACAACTTGTGGCATGGCTCCCGTGAAAGTGCTTTTTCACCAGGCGGCAATGCTCATGGCCATCCATATACTTCACCCGCCTGCGCCACAATGATCTGGTGGTTGGGCCAAGTGTACGGCACAGTGTTGTTGGGTACAGTAGAACCCACTCCACGCAGCGTTAGTATGGACCTATTCCAACATGACGGGTGATGGGACAAACATGGACACACTCTTTTGTGGTACTGCAGAACATGAGCAACTATTGATGTTTCGTGTGTGGATCTGACAAGTGCTCAAACTAGCCCTGGGGCATGACGAGACTTGGAGCCTCGTTCTAGGTGGAATTCCTCGTTCATCTGCAACATGGTGAACAAGATCGGTCGCACGACGAAAAGAAGCTGAACCTCATGATGGTTGTAACATGTTGTAACCGACATTCGATACATATCCATCCACCATTCCTAGACAACTGCTATGGCCAGTTCTATGGCCACAGGCTGAGACTCCATCCGGTGGGTGGAGGCGCAACAAAACTAATAAAGATCAAACAATAAACTACCCAACCGTTCAAAAGAAAAACAAATACTAGTACCTCTAGTCGTACCAAGAGTACAAGGTTACGCAAATAGTTAAAAGATGTTAAAAGCAAAGTTCGTTGCGCTGGAGGGGTCGGGGAGGAGGGCGCAGCGCCTTCACCCAGGGCTTTCTGGGTGTGCCAAAGATCAAAATCGGATCCTATCCTGGCACTACGCAAAGCACACCTTTCAGACCGTTCATTGCCATATTGTCCATGTCTGTCTGTCTGTTTTTCTTTTCATTTGATTCCTTTCCTTTCCTTTTTCCTTTCCTTTCCGTCATTCCTTCTCTTTCTGGTGTTGTTTTTTTGAATTATGTTGATACCTGTTTGCTTCTGTTAATCCCTCTCTCCCTCTCCAACCCTCACCTCGCCTTCCAAAGGCGGAGCAGCCTGGGATCTGCATCAGCGTCGAGTGGATCTCAGGCACCGACCTCAGTGAACTCGTGCGTCGTGCGAGTGGGGCCCTCCGAGGGGCCCTCTGAGTGGAGATGTTGTTCACCAAATACAGTTGATATTTATATTCTCACGCAGCCACGAGTTTGACCCAGCTCATGGATGAAGAGTAGAAGAATACAGTTGATATAACAGTATACTGATGTTCAGTGGGTATTTCCTCACGTAGAGACATGCGTTCCGCAAACGAACGGAGGGTCCAAGTGTGCTCTACTCGCCCTGACTGCAACGCCTGTTCTGAAGGCGTCTCTGACTCCATTCTGGATGAAAACTCAACTTGAATCGTGCGGACCCGGTGTTTGCTGCACCTCCCCTGCATGCGATGGTGACGGATGGTGTAAAGTCAAACTGGCAAAAGCACATCCCAAGGCTGTTCCTTGCCGATTGCCGATTTTGAAGGCTATCAATGCCTGGGGCTGTGAGCAGTTATGTTGAGGGAGATGTTGAGCCATCTGTCACACTATCTATCATAGTTTTGCAAACCTTTGCGGACCTGGAGCCAAGGATGTTCATCTTGGTGTGAAAGTGCTCGTTCAGTTACTCCAAACCAAAGGATCGATCAAAGGCAAAAACATGACACAACAAAGCCCTCTGAATGCTTCTAATTCTACAATCCACTCTAATGGTTTGGTCAAATGTAGCTAATTAGTGTTATATATACATCATAAAGAGTCATTATGATTCATTACAGCAACACCTGAACCATCCTGACAGGTTCGGCACCTCACCTTCCAGGATTGGGACCTCCTTACAGGATTAGGCACCTCTGAAAGAGATCTCGACACCTCAACTCACCGGGTCACTTGCCCGACCTGGCAAGAGAATGCATCTCCGAGTGGCATGCCCTGAGAACATCCTAATCCTTCGTTGTTCCAATGGCCCAGGAGGAAGATCACCTGCCCAACGAAGAGGACGGAGGGAAGAGATGCGCCCAAGAAGCTGCCAAAGGAGCAGCTGTTTGCACAATCTCGATGCATAGGCAAACATAGCAAACATATTATCAGCTCATCAACGAGCACAAAGTAGCTGGAAACATGGCCCTCGGTTCTTACCATATCTTGCGGCACGAGGTAGTTGCCTCAAGTCTCCCGGCGTCTCAACTAGGTGACCGACAACTCAGCACCTCTGGCTGACTCACCGCGAAGTATTCGCAGGCTGCATGCAAATGCGGCAAGGTTTCTGCAAAGTCAGCAGCGCCAGTGTATCCCAAGAAGCCAACCTGGCAATCGAGTCAAAAGCCAATGGCACACCTGAAGATCGTGTATCGCTTAGCAGGCTTAGCAACGCTCTGGATTCTTGCGGCTGGTCCGGTTGCCTTGCAGATTTGTGCAACAATAGAATGTTCGGACCGAGCAAAATACAGCAAGATTATATATATTGATTTTGATTGTTATTTTGAGCAGGTACATCATGCAAAAGCATTTTGAAATGACACACACACACAGACGCAATTCCTGTTATATACAATTGTACATTCTAGATCAACTTCTGTTAGAGTCGCATATTCTAGATCAAAAGGCAAAACAAACAGCAACAAACACAGCCAGCAGTAGAACATACCATAATATTGTATTGAAATTGCCTTTCTGTTCCATTTGTTGAGAACAGCATGTCACAGTCACAGCCCTGTCCAAGTTTAGGTTGACAATTTATCCGGAAGAGTGCCAGCTGAATGAACTGGTCATTGGTTATTTGATGTTATTTGTGGGGATTTTGACAAAAATAAGGAACCTGCAACCATTGAAAGCCAGTGAGCAGGACGGCGGCAACTTCAGGTTCAGCTGGGTGCTGTCCAAGACGCATTTCCAAGCTTGTGGTAGAACAGGAAGTTGGTCCCATTGTTCAAGAATTGGTTCCACTGCTTGTTCCGATCAGGGTCAATGTCAAACGAAAAAATGCGATCATTCTTTGATGCTACGGTATCCATTGGGTAATACTGCATCTGCCCAATACCGAAGTCATCGCTGGAGCTGCCACAGAATGGAAATCCACACACCTTGGCTGCTTTGGTCGCCCATACCAGGGAAATTCAAGGAATGTCTTGTACACAACGTGTGCCTTCAAACGGCTTTGCTTGAGAGCTCGACCAACATTTTTAAAATTAGCCTCATCCGCTTCAGTGGCAAATATCTCGCGGATGTTCCTATCTGAATGATGCAAACCAATGGGTACTAAAGGTCTAAGTTCCAATTCCTTCGTCTTCGCCATAGCGGTACATGGGTACATCACTGGCTGGACCCACTTGGTGCCAAGCGCGATGACCCTTGCCCCCCCTCCGAAGACCAATGGCCACCCTGTCCGCTCTCAACAGGCACAAACAAAAGCGTGGAGAATTAAGGGATGGGAAATAAAGTTCACATTCTATTGCAATGGTTGCCTTGCCAAATTATTGATTTGAATCCAAACTCAAAGAGGTGTTCTTTCTCAAGGATAATAGGACACATCTTTCTGGGTTTATATAGTTGGAAGTAAACCTGACATTTCTGCTGTCACTCCCATTGTACCCTGCCCAGTGAGGAGATGCAAACATGGGCATCTTGACAAATAACCAAATCAAATTTCCTGATTTACAGGCACAACCAGGGTGCGCCCAGGTAAATACCACTACCTCACGGCAGTGGTATTTTCCTGCATCCGTTCAAACGCACGCGGTGCATGGACTGAGTCCAACAAGCACCCACAGCCAAATGATGCCAAATGTATCACACCGAAGTCAGTTTTTCCTTCTCCTTTCTCCTTCTATCAAATGAACTCTGCCAACCTTGTATGTAAAGCTGTAGCTCAGCAGCCGCTGGCAAGGAGCTGTGCAGCTGCATACGGACCATATAATACTAAGCAGCACAGAAGCCTTACGTGAGAAGCTGCAGCCCAAGGATGGCAGGAAAAGTGGCCACCAAGTTGCAACTTGACTTCAAGTTCTGCTCGATGCTGTACCCAAGGATAGCAGGATAAGTGGTCCCCGCCTTTGTTTGCAGCTTGACTATTGCTCAGGCTGAGTTGTGATAGCCATAGCTGGATTGATTGACACTTAATGTCAAAAATGTTGCTTCGTCAACAAAGGATGTTGCACCATCTGTTCAACCTCTTGCTTATTGAACCCTGCACAACTAGAATGGTGGCAAATTCCTCAGCCGTGTTGCCGCCCCGTAGTGCTCAGAATTGCATCCATTGCATGGAGTTCGACAGCTATAGATTTCTGGCCTCCAACGTATGCGCTGGCAATTGTTTCAACACCTTCGGGCTCCTCCGAAAAAAGCATAGACTTACCGCTGTCTGCACCAACTTGAACAGAGCAGGCCGCCGTCTTCTCACCACCGCCAGGCCAGGTGGGTGTATAAATCCAAAGGATGGCCATCGTACGCTGCCGTTCTTCGTGCCGCTTCGTCCTTCAACACCCGATGAGTCGCTGCCAAATCGGGGCAGGAAGGACTGAGACACGTCAAATGACTTGAACACCTCTGCAAAAGTCGTGCAGCAAGCTTCATGGAGAACGCGTGGGAAATGCCATGCCCTCCTATCCAGCCTAGAAAGTCATGGTGAAGAAACCACATTCCTGAACCATCGAGCTTTGTTCCAACGCTTCGATGATCTTGAGGCAAGCATATCATGAGGTTAAAACAGCGCCCTGCTCCCATTTTGTGGAAAACACACCCTGCTCCCTACAGTGGGATGCACCATTGCTCCACAGAATAGAGTGACTTCCAGCGGCCAAAGCAGCTGCAGCAAAATATTTGGCCAGCTCTTGGTCAAATGTCTATATATACTTATTGCATATTACTACATGTTGGATCCTCTATGGCAGTGGTTGGACTAAACTCCCCATCCGGCCTATCAGTGTAATCCGCAAAGAGATCAAGTTCTGAATCTCAGTAGAACCATCAAACAACTATTCTGCAGAAGGACTATCCAAGTACCTAACTCACCTAACAGCCAACTTACAGCCATCACAAGCAAGCACAGCACCCCCATGAACTACCATCACATACAATGAAATCGTGCACTGAAGCCCTGGCGGCCATAGTCGCTTCAGCTGTGCAAGGTCCGCAACCTGCTTATGAGACGATTTCGCCTCCGATTTCCCCTGAAAAGGCCAAAACACCACAGGGTTTTGGAAGCCAGGGGTTGATCCTGTAGCCTTTAAATGACCATGCAGAAGTTGGGTTTTGCTATGGCGACACCGAACCACCTCCCGATGTTCGGCCGTTCCGAACCCTCCGTCTCGCCCAGGGGCCCAGTTGTCGTGATTCCCATTCACCATCAGCCAGAAGCGACGCTTCACGTTCAGCGAAACACGGCTGAAGAACTCTTGGGTGAGCTCTCCGCTCTGGTCGTAGAAGTTGTCCTGTTTTCCAGGTCACGAGTCATGCGCTGTCTCGCAGCGCCGCGCGGACCAGAAACACCCGGGTTCCGCGGTTTTTTGGTCGGAGCGGAGAGAGCCGCCCACTCCGCCGGAGTGAACATGAAATGGCCAAACATGATGAGGCAGCCTTGAATCAACGAAGAACAAAAACATGTCAAATCCTTTGGACAGCGAGTTTTCTTCAAACATGTGGTGTCCAAATTCAGGTCTTTTGGCACGATCTGTAAGCGAAAGGGAAGGCGATTGCACCCATAGACCATTCTGAACTAACCGAAACAAATCTACTCCCCTGCAGATTAACATGGAACCCAAAATAAAGGAACGTGGTCTTCCGCCGGTCAATTCTCAGGTTCAATGTTAGTTTGCGCGGGGATAATTGTAATCAATGAAATGGGTGCGTTGGGCGTCTGTGTTTCGTGTCTGAGTGCTCTTCACTTACAGCAATATGTCATTTGCTAAAGGTGGCTAGGAGAATGAGCTACCGCAGTGGCCTGTAGAATGTCTATGTCTATGTCTATCCTTCAAGCTGAGAGTTTGCCCATATGTCATTTGAGCCATCCTCTTCTGCGAGCGAATTGATCCTCAATATGTGAGTAGACTACGACTTACCAACATGGACATGGAACATGGGGCCCTGGAAGGAAGTCTTTTCTTTTACAAACCAGGGGATCTTCCACTTCTATATACCTGGACTTGGACCCTCAAATTTATCCAAAGTTCCCTAGAACATCCGACATTACATGACGGGGCCCTATGAAGGAAGGTAATTACTACTTGGTGCTGAGCTACGAACAGATCTGATACGCGAAAACAAACGGCGTCCCCGGGTCGCGGGTCGCTTCGACTGTCTCGTCCAAGGCACCCCGAGCACTCCGAAGAGGTCCAAGCTGTCATCCTCGAAGGCCGCGTTCAGCATGCGCGTCGAGCGCTCCAAGGTCTGAAAGGTCTGCCCGAAGGCACAATTCACGTACCTCATCCAAGGACGCAAGTAGCTTGGAGACCATCGCAAGTAGGTTGGAGGCCATCGCTGGTAACAAGAAGCTACTAGCGTCCTTGCTACTAGAAGCCTCATGCAGCGGAAGGAAGGACTCGACCATCCCAAAATGGGACGTCCTAGCACACATGTACTACGGCATCCCATCCGATGGGACTGGGCCATGTTAAGGTGGGTCAATGGGGCGGCATATATAATTGATATATTCCAGGTCCGATGGAACATCAAATGGGGCGGCATATGTAATGTTGGTCTGGCTTTGAGCGTACGGCCGCGGCCCAACTGAATGAGCTTGGAGGATCTGGGATGAACATCTGGATTATATATATATATATCCTGCATGGTCCAAACCATGGTGAGAAAGCCTTGCATCTTGCATATGGCATATGACATACAAGTTTCTTCCACGACTCTAGCCATTGAGTTTTCTGTGCCACATGTATGCCACGGACCTTGTCCGAGGGTTTCTGCAAACAAACCGTGACAGCCACACGGTTTGTAACTGGGACAGGGGTGCAACTTGCTGTGAGGATTGGCTGTTTTGTTTGAAGACACCGCCGACATCCTTTCTCTGGCAGAGGATGGACTCTTGATCCATTTGGTTCTCCTATATGTTCCTCTACTTGGAAATAAAGATAAAGACTCAATAAATAATAATTTGCAATGTAAATCTGATCCTAAAGCTGGTGCGTGGTTCAGTGGCATTGATCTCTCTTCACTGGTCAAGGACGGTATAAAGCAAACATTGATGGTCGCGACATCGAGTGCTTTCATGTTTACCTTGGCTGTCTTCAATCCATTGCCATGCATGGAACACCACCCATGCCACCAAGAGGCCGAGATGAAAAGCAGGGATCAGCCCAGAAGACTCCACGGATCCCACGATCCTGCCAAGAAAAGGACGTCGTGTCCACACCGGACACTGATACACTCCCGAAAACTCACATAGACCCTGACAATGGCCCCATGAAAAACTATGTTCCTCTACCAACCAATGGTTTTCAGGGTCCATGATAGTCTTCCAGGGTGTATATGTGTCTTTCTTTCTTTCTTTCTGTCTTGCATTGCATAGAGGTTGGGGCGAGCCTACTGCACCTACTGTAGCTACAAATTCGTGAATTCATGCGAAAGCATAGGAAAGCATCGGGTTGGAAGTCAACACACCTCACACACCTATAAATACATTGCTAGTATCTTAGTATATCTAACTCCCAGCATCCTGGGGGATGGTTGTCATCCCAAGGGCCAAATCGCTTGGAGGTTGTATCAAAGTCATCTTTTTTTTCCATTTGATGACCATCCCCTGCAATGGACTACCACCAACTTGTTGAACGATGGTACATGATGGTACATGTATATTGATTTCTAATGATTTCTAGCCGTTAGCCTGCAATGAATGAATGTCTGATGCACACGAATGAATGTCCTCAGCTCATTCAATTCACACTACAGGCCTTCTCCCTTTCCTAAAGGTGTCAACATGAATGATGCACACATGTTTGCACTCCTACCATGAAGCAAATCGATAGCATATGCATAGGTTATACATGTCCATGTCTATGACTCTTGTACACGAAGTCTTTTCATTCTTCCACCTCGGACACTCCCGTCTCCTCTGCCGGCAAATCGATGACCACCTCCTGTCCGTCGATGGTCAATGTGTTCGGTCCCGGCGTTAACCTCCGCACAGTCGCACGGGGAGTCCACCATGGCTTCCACCGGATGGCTCGGCACAGGACAGGACATGGAGCTACCTCCTAATGCGTCTAATACCTAATATCGGGTAATCAAAAAAAAAGACATCTGTGTTCTTGTTCGGGTATATGTAATACCTAACATCAGTGTTCTTGTGAAATTAATTCAAAAGGGAGACCTGGCCAACGACTTTGAGAGAATCCTTGAAGACCATAAGCTTCAACTGATTCTTGTAAACTACCCAACTAGCCAGGAGACGTTATGGGCAACTATACCGAGGTGCTTCAAAGAGCTTCCACTGGCAAGACTTATCCAGCTAAGAATGTACACCGACTCTTTCGTTTTGCGCAAACACCTCGAGGACGGGTACGAACCTTATAACAAGCCACCGTTCAGTACGAACCGAACGGACATGACCCGACCATGCCGAAGCAACCGAGCTCTGAGCGTCCGCCTCGTCACGTCTTTACCGGATCCACCGGGGTCGGTCGGTGGCGCCAAGGAACGTGAGTACCGAGCTCAAAAGGACGTTCTCCGTCCAACGGTACTGAAAGGCTTCCCGGTACTCCTGAGAGACGTACCAAGCTTGGGCTCAAACAGCTGTGAGAGGTTGTGAGATACACTCTGCCAGCTTACATGGGACTAGAAATGACTAGATGGCGGTTGAACAAGGATGTCCTTGAGGGTCCTTGAGGGTCCGTGCATCGATAATTAAAGGTTCCATGATCCGGGCAAAGGAAGGCCCTTTGAACGAATTCACAGTGCAAAAGAAATTACAACATATTACAACCTCCTGTGGACACCATGCGTGATATATTGAAAATACATGATACATGATAATACAGCGGGCCGATGAGGGTAGAGAAAGGCAAGGCAAAGGGCAAAGGTTCTGAAACATGGCCATCATGATGTCGTCCACCACTGGAACTGCTCAGGGGCAGCTGGCACTGTTAGTAGTGGTAGTGAAGTGGCCATATACAAAGAGTGTGATTCACGTCAGGTTTCTCCCCCTCTAAGGCTGGTTGGTCCCAACATCCTTGAGCAGGAGACATCTGTGCAATTCCTCTCAGTTCAAGTAGATCAGATTAGCAGGTGTGAGGAGCTTAATCGTAAGGCCCCAGTGTTTATGGTTCCCTGTTACACATGCATCACTGCGTTTCGAAAAGTTAGCTTCTCATGTTCCATAATTACTGGACTTTCATTCTGGTTCTCTTATATATTGAACATCCACTTTGCTAGCTGTTCAATGCCCAGGTCTATATAAATGGGCAGGGATTAATATAACTTTGCTATATACCTTGCTGGATCGGGGTTCTTGGATGATTCTTTGCTTCTGAGTTCTACTAGCACAAAAGAACAAGCACAGAAGCACAGCTGGCTGGTGCTACTATTCAGTGCCCAGAAGCGAACGGAAAATCTGCAGCATCCTCATGGCTTTGCGCGATCATGGACACCCGAACCTTGTCATAGCCCTGTGCCGGGATGTGACACTTGTGATCATCTGTTTCCCATCAAGCGAGTGAGTCACACGAGTCCCCTGCGCCCCTTCTAGAACTATTCTAAGCAATGGTACCCTTGAGGCTGCAACAAATGCATTGTTCAGTCCATGCAAACATGTGCTCAACTCCACAGTTTGCCCACAATCTACAGTGTTTGGCCCAGCTAAAGCAAGGATTCGCAGAAAATGTCGGTATTCCAAGCAAGTCTCAGTCCAAAGTCCAAAGCTCCGAATTGCCTTTTTGGCCTAAACACTAAACAAACTTTCCTAAGCGGTGCTTTCCACTTTGCGCATCTTTCCCCAACGAAAACGCCGTCCGGGCTGCTGGTGGTCATTTCCCCCCTCCACCGTCGACCGCGCCCGTGCCTTGCTACCCAAAGCTTTGGCCACTCGCAGCTCCAGCGATCGATTCTGAGCGATCACCGGTAAAACCAAAGCCACCACGAGCCACGCGCCCCACGCCATGTGCGCCATGCGCAGCCGGTGCACGAGAGGAAGAACTCGAGAGTGACAGTGAGGTAGGTTGCAAGTGGTTTGTCGCTTGACGTCTGTAGAAGATCAGCATGTATACATGATATGTAATGATATGTCTGTATAAAGATGTATAATGTGTAATGGATGACTCTGATGGTAAGGCAAAAGCATGCTGATGTTATTGTATTTACAACGATCAATGACAAAGGTTTAACTCGAGAAAGCCTTCAATGTTGGGAGCTAAGCAGCAGCTCAGATTCTCAACCAATGTCTTCATTCGAGTCAAACGATCTGCCTGGATTGAGCCATCTGCAAGAACTTATGACCAATGCCAATCGACGGATCAAGGTATTCTTCAGATCCACAGCTATTGAAAATAACAAACAAAAGATTGAATAGATGTGGATCGTTCTAAGATTGAACTAAGAGTCACTAGATTAGATACTAAGATTGAACTAACATAACAATGGCTTTTTGCTCTGAAGAACGATTGAACTAAGAGGTCCGAAGATCTGCCGTCAGATCTGATTCAACGACTGCGGTCGTGAAGACTCCGACTGAAGACTCTTTGTGAAAACATACATACCAGGATCATCCAATGGGTGTCCACTGGAGGTCCAGAACAAAAACGGTGTATAGTCCATTGACCCAGGTAATCATGCATTCCATCATATTCTAATGCATATAACTTATAACCCTCTCCGTCCAAGCATCCCAGCATCAGCACGGTCAAGCACGGCTCAAGCCGGCGAGACCGGTCACCTCACCTGATGAATCTCCGGTGCCAGGTTCTCTTGCTCCTGAAGATCGGGCCGATCTCAAACTGACCCAAAGGGCTACATCGCTACTCCCGGTCACCCCAAAGAGGGCTGGCTGGATCTCCTTCGTGTTGAACAAAGACGTCAGCAAAAGCTGTGATATGGGGAAGAGCTCCAACCGTATCCTCAGGAGGTGGTTAGCCCCCCAGGAGGTAGTTGGAGCCCTAGGGAATACTTAGAATGTGATCTGACCGGCAGGAGGAAATCCTCCAGCAACGTCCGTTGCACCTGACCGCTTGCGTCCGATTCCAGTCTCCTCTTTTCCCAGGGTGTAGAAGTTGCCACCTGCACATCTTGTCAATTGTTTGGGACGGTGAGATACAAGTTCGTTGAGAACTGTCAGTGTTCTTATGTGTTTTACATATGTTTTACGCTGGCGGTAGTTTTGCATGGTTCTTCTCCAACTGTCGCAGAACACATTATAGAAGCATATAAAACAAAATGGTGACTACCCACCCTGGGGCTCCAACCACCTCCTGACAAGGTGGTTGGGGTGGGTTTGGGGGGGTCTAACCACCTTCTGAGGATATGGTTGGAGCCCTAGGGTCATTAGATCAGAGTCTTCACAACACTACACAAACTCTTGCAGAATGATCGCCAAGTCACCAGGGCCCACACGCCACGCCGAGGCACACAAGTCCCAAGACACATGGTGTCAACATCCCGCTTGGAGGTACAGAACCTCTTAAGCATTGTTAAGTCATTTCCCGTAGGAAGGTCCAGTTCATGTTTTCAAACATAATCAATCCTGGACCTGCACATATCTTCTCAGAAGATAGTTAGACCCGGTAAACTCGCCCCAAACACCGAACCTCACAGAGGTAGTTGTAGTTCAAGGGCCTGTGATCCCTTTGGCATATCAGTGGGTCCAGTGATTGCTTCCAAAGATGCATCCACCCATTTGGTCAATCACCATTCCCCAAATCTACACTCCCTGAAATACTCATGGTTCCGTGGGTGGCACCACCGTTGGGTCTTCGGATTGGGTCGACCCTCTGCGCCGAAATATCACCCTTCGCCACGAAACAGAACATCAGGGAGGTTTTTGGAGGAAATGAACCGATACCACCCAGCTTGGTGTTTGGTTTTGGTGTAGAGGGTGGTGCAAATCTCTCAGAATCCACCGAAACCACCCAGCCTTTGGCACCAAAACCACTTCATTCCAGCACCACAGACCGACCCGCCGACGCGCGACCTTCCACTGCTTCAGCGAAGCTCTTGCGCCGTTGCGCCAGTGAGGCGTTCACCTCCTGAAAGGGACCACGAGATGTGGACCAGCAGTTTGATGTTGTCTTCACCTCCCCCCAAATCGTTCATGTTCTCAATACATCAGCTTCACACCTGCCAAGCCCTCGAGTTCTGCTCCAAGCCCTCGAGTTCTGCTTATTAAAAAAACACACACACAGTGTGGCTTCTGGGTCCAGTACTCTACTACTCGACATCTATACCGACATCTTCTATACTCGGCTCCTGCACGTTCAACTCCTGGAGCCACGGGTTTTCCTCTGCTGCAGCCACGTAGTTGAACCTTGAACCGAGCGAAGTTCCGAACAGCTACTTGTGCAAGGACGCTACGAACGTAACAAAGGGCATCCACTAGTGGTAATGCCCTTGTTACTATAGTGGGGATCCGTTTGTTACTGAGATGTGCTTCCGGGTACCGCGAATATCCGCGAATCATATCCTGCAGGTTGTCAACATTAAATTTCCAGAAGAAGAACCTCACATCACATGAAATGAGAAAACAGGATGAACGTGGAAACTGAACCAGAGTCGGCTACATGTAGCCCTAAAAAAAGGAACGGTGTGTAGATGCGAGTAGCCCTCCAAGGAACCTGGTCGAACACTACCCGGTTCCTTTTAGTGACTCACCACAGCAGTCCGAGAATCATGATGTTGGAGACGTTCCGAATGGGCCTGGCGTGGACTGACACGTGTCACTGGACAACATCCCAGAAACGACCTGTCTGGGATTGGCATTCTTTACGTATACATTGAGGTGGTTTAAAGGGGGTGAAGGTAGATAGTGGTAAATATATTATATGCCATACATTGGTCAACATATGTCAACATGATTGATTCCCCTACCAGGGACAGGAATTATTCTGCATGTCGGGGGTCATTACCCATAAGTGAAAACATTCAAATCCCTCATACTGTCGATGGATCAGCCATCCTACACCACAAACATTCATCATGGATACCTTATCCATTGAATAGTGCAGCATATTGCAGCAAAAACACAGTAGGTAATGAGTGATGATTGTAGTTTAATACAATCTAGATCAATAGGGCACTTACATGCACTGCACATCATGAGAGATGCCCATCAGCCACCAACAAGAACCGGGTGGTTCAGCTCTCTCGGATTGACTTCTCCGGATGCTGGTGGTCGCCCGACTTCTCCGCGTGTTCAAAAGGCCGGGATGGATCCAGCGAGACTCAGGCGAAACCATGAGACCGACCAGACAGGCAGCTGCAGGACGAACATGGTTCGCTGCAGGACGAACATGGTGGGTTCGCTACATGGTTGAACAACATGGTTCACGGACGTCTGCCACAGGGTCTGGCTGCGAAAAGCAACATGCAAAGCAAAAGAGCTGAGGTGCCTGGTCTGCTTCACGCTGAGCAAGCGGAGCTTGCACGTGGCCTGAAACCCGACGAAACCAGTGTTGACATCAAGCCTAAGACGCTTGAAATTGTCGTGCCAGAAAGAATACCTATACAAATAACTACACTCATTTGGCGTCCACTTCTTGTGTTCTCCATGACCATCTTGTAAGATTCGGGATAGCAATCATCATGGTTTGACACCAACACCTCGACTCTTCTGTTTGTCTTCTTTAACGCCCTGGTCCCTTGACTCACGCGACTCTCCGAAGCGACGCCGAAAGGAACAAATAAACTAAACATTAGTTTAAACACAGAAACATGCCATCCACGCCACACCGATGGTGTTCTTTTCATGCTGACTGTGCATGACTGTGCTAAATCATCTTTCCAGGACCCGTTGACCCTTGGGTGGTTCAGCTTTCTTTCTTTGTTATAGTTGTCCCCCCTTTCAAGCCGACATGGGATGACCCAGGTCGGGGCACTGAACCACCCCACCCGAGGTCAGGCCGGTGCAGTGCCTCGGTGAGTGCCACCTTCACCTGCGACCGCTATGGTGGCTGCCGGACCATCTCCGTTTGGTATCTTCTACATGGTCCCGGAGAAAGGGGGCCTATATATATATATATATTGCATGTATATAATTGTATATATAATATATATGGTTCTGACATTGTAGTACATGAATTAAATGGTAAGGATATGAAATGAACCAAAGAATTGATGAATAGTGATCAATATAAACATACATAAATATACAGCTTCATCAGCTTCCGACATGTTCTGAATCAAACACCGTTGTAATAATTATCTGCCGACGGTATTGCCCTCTCTATACTGGTTGACAAAACATGACCTTTGCCGGATGGCTATTCAACAACACAGCTCATGTGGGTGTCGGAACTCCCTGGTCTGCTGTGTTCTTTACCGTTGTTGGGCAGGTTCTGCCATGAACACCTGGTGGAATTAAATGTTGCGCGTAGTCTTGCGCCAATTGAGGGTCCAAAAGCGTCTGATGGACTAGTGACTGGTCGCGGCAAAGCGCAGAGTAGGGCGGCCCTGTTCAACTAGCATCAGAACCCATATGCATAGGCCCGGATTGCAAGCAACATATCTATGTCTAAAGTCTAAAGTCAACATGTTATCAATCAAAGTCGGTTGTGGATCAATTATACGTGCGAGCCACCATCTTGGCGGGACCACGGTGGAATAAGGTTGCCTACCTGGAATCTGAATGACCTCTATCCTGGACCACCCACCCAAAGTATGGTCTTTCTCATCAAAACAGGAGTCAAATGGGTTCCAGATACATACCTCACGTTGCCGAAAACGCTCATCATACTCACGTCCCAAATACCATCATTGCACTGTTGCCACTTTCATCCCTGAACCCCCAGACCTGACTCACCCGAATCCTCTCGCTCACCCGTCCTGAAACTCCTCCTCGAGCTCACGCATGGCCGCCTGACGTGGTGTCTCGCCATGGTCTACGACGCCACCGGCGAACTTCCACTCCCCGGGGTAGCGCATGGGCACCTGCAGTGCCGCGCACCGCGCGGAGCCGGAGCCACTTCTCTGTAGAAAAACCGAAGGAGGAGAAGGAGCACTTGGTGAATCAAGGACAACTATGGAGAACCTGGAGAACTATAGTAGGTCTATAGAATTATAGAATACTATGAATACTATATGCAATGGAAATGTAAGGTGCAACAAACAAACATAAAGCTCATGGTAGTCTTGTGCTCTCGAGTCTTTCCTTAGGCTAAACAAACATTGATTCCCAATCCAACGTTGTCCATTTACCGAGGTACACGTGTAGGACCTATGCCAAATCCCGCATCAATAGCTGTGTACGAGTCACGAGTCCCCAGACATTGCAAAAGGAGCACATGCACACAAATTCCATCGTGGTGACTTATAAAAGGTAATGTCGCATGAGGCTGGAATGGAACAATTGAATTGCTCTGCAGTTGAGGTTAAAATTGAAGTCTGGTCGAAGCCCCTACCAGGCACATCCAGGCCATACAACAGTATACGTACTCGTGCTTACAATATAATATGTGCATGCTTGTTCTTGCTGGGCCTACCTGCGCTCGCAGGGCGCACGTCACTTGTCAAGGATCAAACAGTCAATGAATGAAATAGTTGAACAAACCTACTGCTAGTCGGAGCTGCACACCATTTTCATTCAATGTCCAACCGCACCTAATCGCATCGTCTAACCACTTAAGCACCCACTTATATAACTTATGTTCTTTTTGATTCATCCGTTTGGACCGCCACGACATTCCACCAAACAAATATTCCGAACATCTGCGGATATCAGTCAGGCCAACGGGCTCCAATCCAATCAGACTCGTTGCAGTCCGGCCTCCTTCTCCGGTCGGCTGCGGATCCAGTTCTGAACCTCGCCCTGGCCCATGAGGACCTCCCAGTTGGAGTGGAAGAGGGCCTCGGTGTAGATGACGAGACGACGAGTGGAGACGAGGAGAGGAAGGAACGGTGCACCACGAAGGACGGTGCATGCATAGTATGGTGCCCAATGGAGATTGCGCAGCTAAACAACTTCAATCCTCACCTCCCCCAAGGTGGATCATCAAAATTTGAAAAAGCGTCTCCACTGATGTTTCACATGTTGTGTTTCCCTCACACCTCAGGATAACCTCCGCCGTGGCGAGCACACACACCGCTGAGGCCAGGGCCCGGCGCTTTGCCTTCTCCCCAAAGAGCACTCGAATCCGCGCCGAGGCGTCGGAGCCCAGCTGGCTGCCGGGGCCCTCGTTCCGGGTGGCTTCCTGGACGTGGTTTTTGGCTCGCGTTCCGCGGCCCACGGGATCCGCCCGGCCCGGAGGGATCCAGTGCTACCGACCCGGCCCGAAGGTACCGGTTTGGGGCGCCAACATGCCGAATGGAAGTGTGTGTGGACGAAAGGAATGGGGGGCCAACATCTCTGGGATGTTCTAGAAAGGACGCGTTTCCGGATAATCTGAGGAAATGACGCAAAGAAGGTCAGCAAGCTGTCTTTGACAAGCCATCCAGTCTGCTCAATTGCAGTGGCAAATGGTACTAATCAAACATGGTCTACATCATCTCCCCCTCAACCAAACCTACTATAATTACGATAACTGAGTGAGGGAGAAATAGCATCTTTGGTGGCAAATGGATGCATGGCATAGCCAAACTGAAGTAGTATTTCTGCATGAACTTCATGAACAACGACCTTAGGAGCTTCATATTTGCAACAGGAACTATCGCAACAAAAGAACACATTGCACCTCTTTGGAGTTTCTGTTAAAACTAAGCCGACTCACTCACTCGTGCAAGTCTGCTAATGTATGAATGAACAAGTGGACCTACTAAATTTCAAACAAGGAATGTGACAAACTCCGCTGATGGCGTCCTTCCATCCACCACCACCACCACCACCACCACCACCATCACAAACACCACCCTTGTACAAGCAAAAACTTGCGGAATGACTAGTGATCGACGTGTTTGTTCTATCTCGTGCGTGCAGAATCCACACCATCCCACAGCCCTAGCATCTACCGGCAGACCACACCAACTCATCACCAGTCGCGACCCTCACCCCGCTCCTCAAGGCTCAACGTGCCACCGGCCGCGTCCGCGGCTTTGGCCGCCGCGCCGGCACCGCGGATGCAAACAACCGTGGCGGCGGGACGCACCCGCAGCGGGCCATTCGGGATCATGGTGGAAGAGAAGCTGAGTGGGTGAGGTTTGGGTCAGTCAAAATGAAGTAACTTTGAGAGCTTCTATTTTGTTTAAAGTCCAAGTATAGAGTTTGATGATCATTTGGAGATGAGTTAAGATTTTGTCAACTCTTAGCTTGGTTCAGCCGTGGTTGAGTTACCTGATGGGATCCGATCGAGGTCCAACGACTTTATGACGATGCGACTCTTGCCAAAGGAGCTGGATTTCCAAGCCTTAACGAGTCTGGATTCAAGTGGATCTACTAGTTTGTAGTAAGTAGAGTTTTGAGGTCTCAGTCTCAAGTCTTTGAACCACTGGCTATATATGTATAATATATAGAGTGGCAACGGGGACAGTTTTGAAACGCTGACGAAATCGCATGGCTGAAGGCTGGGAATTGGCTTATCTATGTCAATCTGATATTGACTCTTATCAACTGCTTCACAAGTCCAAAAATGGAATCGAGCAAGCTACCTGCTTAAGTAGGTCACATCATCCAGTACTCATCAAGCTGGGAGAAGGAATTGTAACCGTTTAGCGGCTAGCGCCCTGCTGTCTCAAATCACCCTGCCACGTGGCAGAAACTGAGACCTGTCGCACACATTGCACACATCTCAAGTCTTCTGAGACTGCAACTGAGAATTAAGCTGATGAGGTGCATAACCTGCCAGTCCGAAGTTCGGCCGCAAAGCTTCCGGCAAAACCAAACCACAGCTGCTTAAGCTGCGGTTTTGCAACCTGCTAGTAGTTGAAGAAGTGTCACTCGCGTTCATCCTAGATGTAGGGGCCCCAACTTGATGTGCAGGACATGGGTAACACCGGGTAACACGCCATAACAACGACCGACATCGATCGACAGCCAGCACAAAAAAGCATGGTTGTGTAACTTAAATTCAACAACTAACAGTCGGGGTGGTCCACGACTGTCCAGTGGTCCAGGCAGGATTGATCCGCAAATCGGTGACATGAATCAGTACAAGCGATGAGTCATGAGCACTTGTCTGGGTCAAGGTGAAAGCCCGAACACAAACAGGCTGAGCTTTCTCTTCCAATGAGTACAGTATCTACTACATACATGTGCGGGCTCCTGGGATTTGTGGCCTGATACCCATTGGTTGCTCTCAGGCAGTTCGATACTGAGTGTGTATGCGTCCGCAACATAGCACCGTGTGGATCACACATAGCACGTGGTATATATTCTCATCTCAATGGTACCTTGTCAGAAGGTAGGACTGGGGCTCTGGCACCTTAGAAGGGCTCTGTATCAACACCAATCTGGACTTGGACTTGCTGGTTCCAGGATCCATGGGGCAAGGCATGCCTAAAGCAAATCGGCGTGTGCAGCAGTGCACTGCTTGCCTTGGATCGAAGAGCTTTCAGTGGAGCCCTTGGAATGAGTTTCTGGGAGTATTGCCTGGGGCTTCTTGCCGCACACCCTCAGAATGTAGACCACCCACCCCAACCAAATACGGAACACATTTCAAAGGTCCGCGCACACCTCGGCCCAGGTGAGCGCTGACACACTCGGCAGACCTAAGTCAACTTACGAGCTTCACAACTTGGACCAGTCTTCGTTTGACAATTGACATAAGTCTCTTGTTCTGACATGAAGCATTTGACCGATCAAGTTCTTCACAACTTGAGTTTTGTGTTCTTCGAGTCTAAAGTCTAAACCAATTCAGGGTCCATAGAACCATTGGTATTCATGGCGGTTGCTCCTGTTCTTTGCAAAGCGACAGGGTTGAGTGCAAACATCCACTGATTTTATCCAGCCACTGGCTCGTGGATGGATATAGACACTTTGAAGGGACAAACTTGTGCTCTACCACTTTCCTTCCAGGTCAAGAGAGGTTTGCAACAGTCAGAATTCACTGAATTCCCTCACAACCTGCCTGGCAGGTGCATAGCATGTGATGCCATCCATTTTGAAGCTCACGTGACTCGGCTGAGTACCTATGCCGTCCAAAAAGATGAGGTGTTGATCAAGGTGGAGAGGGCGTCCTTAGGTAGGGCAAGTACCAGAAAACATAGAATCCTAGCAAATGTACAAGATAATCATACAGTAGCCTTTTTTCTGAACACTTCACGGCCTTGACGGCCAACAAGTGTACATAAAAGTTTAGACAACACTAACAAAAAGATCAACACCTCAGAAGCATTGATGAATGATTGGAAGCTTCGGAAGGGCCAGGGATCATATCTATCCTCCCTGCAGCAATCATGGAAGTGGACAATGACCTCTTGGAAGACCACCCGCCACCTCTACAATCAGGCAGTTTTCCACGTCCATGTTTGTTGGACGAAGGGTACAAGCCTTGAAGGAGCTCCTGATGATTGTGCATCTTCTTGGACACCCAACAAACAGCAGGTGTTGCAATCGCAACAAGCCTAGCTTCTTCCCCACATGGTCCCCATCACCATGCGCACTCCGGTCATCCGAGGCTGCCGGAACTGAGGAGATGCCCTCAGTTTCATTGGGAAATCAAGCGCTGATCCCAGTGGAATCACTACCAGGACCACCCGAAGGTCAGGGCTCTCTGAAGGTCTGGCCGGCTGGACTACCCTACACGCCTCTTATAGGAATCTCCAGACAGGATGGTCCAGGTATGATCCAAATGTTAAAACAACGTTGATCTTTGAGCTATAGAGGACGCTATGCAACTATCATTACAGTCTGTGCCGGGCACTCTGTGGGTACAACTGGGGACCCCAGTCTCAAAGGTCTGTAGGCGAAACTTTGGTGGAGGTCTATATGAGCGAACTGGCGAATTTGGACAGCGCCAGCATGATCGAAAGTCAACATGGGATGCTCAAATGTGCAAAACTTCGGCTCCAACTACCCCCCTGAGGGCTTTGGGATGGGTGCCACGAGGGTCTCAGTATCTTGTGAGATATTGGGAGCCCTAGGGGGTTGACCAACATCCACGCCACAACGGGTCTGACGCATGCGTTGGGGATTTCATGGTTGCGTCATGGTGCCTTCCAGGATTGAACACATTCCTAGAAGTCTGCAGGTCTTGGACTGCGGTGATCAGCTTTGTATGTGAAGATCCTGATGAATCTTATTTGACTTAGACCTTTAAAATCAGGGAAGTTTCCAACACATCAACAAATACATGAACCATGATGTGATTCCAGGCCACATATAGCCAGCGAATGTTGGTCATCTCAAAACATCAACTCTGGACCAAATCTTTCATGGTGCCAAGGGCCCACCCTCTTGCCTTCTGAAATGGTTCTGCGATCAAAGGCAAAAGGGTCAGAGGCAAAAGGTTGGAAGACAAGACTTCAAGAGTTGCGCCAAACTGTTCTGTGATGAGGTCTATCCGAGTCTATCCATCACTGATGAGGTCGGCTCCAACTTAGCTCCCTGACACTGATGTTCGAGCAAGCAAAGTCCTGGCATGAGTGACTGAGACTAGTCAGGGAGTGAGTCTTGAAATGAAACTAGCAGCCACGATTCGCAAGCTGAGCACAGCTCATACGTAGCTGAGGTTTCCAGCAAAACTGAATATTTTGACAAACAAACTCATGGCATGCGGCATGCATGTCATGTATTTAGAACCCATAGATGATCAATCATCCATGTGACTTGATGCTTGAATACCATGTGACTCTAATTGAAACAAACATCATCCCACCCACCCTGGCGGGTCCTTGGGCGATTGAGGGGATCCCAAAGCCTTGCCGTTCGCGCGAACGGAGTGGATTCCTTCATTTTCAAACGACCCGGAACCCATCTGGCACCACCAGGTGGGGTCGTGTGGAACCTGGAACCGGCTCGTTGAAGGTCCCAACCTCCCTGCACCGGGCATCGAAGACCAAACTGTTGGGCTTCCGAATTGAGGTGTTTGAGGTGTTGAGGTGCAGGAATGGGAGAGTTGAGACTCGATCCTTTGAGACTCGATCCTTTGTAGACCTCCTCACCATGCAATTAATACCCACCAGCATGATGGGCTTGTAACAAAAAAGACATGTCTTAGTATCCAGCTATATAACTAGAAAACATCAAGTTCGAACTTATGAGTATGGTCACCTCCCATGGCTTTGGGTCAAACATTGTTTATATCATACCAAAGCTGTACGTTCTAAAATAAGAAATTGTCTAAATTCATGTACAATACATATATTTATTGTAAACAAAAAAAATGCATACAGTAGAGAAAACAAACGAATACACTGCTACCAAAGAAGAATCGCTTGTCAAGCTCAGAGTTCTTTTTTGGACAAGTCGTGGGATATGGCCAGAAAGAAACCAAAGTGCCGTGGACAAGTCAAAAATGCGCACAGTCCCTGAATGTCCTTCATCAATTGCTTTATAACTCTGACCCACATGTGTTGGTAGGAAAAAAGAATGGAAGAACCTTTGAACACCTTACAATCCCTGTTCCGTGGTCACTGTAAAGTCGAGGACCTGGTTGAGACACCCCAGGTAGCCAACACGCCAACAAAGTAGGGATCAGTCGCCAGCTTCAACACTTCTCTCCGGTCGGCGTGCTTTCGCTTGCCTTCCCCACATCGGACCCCCCGCAGCTTTCACCGGCGGAGTCTGCACCTGTGAGTCCTCACGGCTTGACGCAGCGTCAGCCGGGCGAACCATCGGCTTGGCCTTAGCCACTGGAAAGTCGGAAGATGGAGCGTCTTCCTGTCATTACATGATTTCGCGAGACGCAACACATGCAACATTCATTTGTACATGCATAAAATGTTTTGTAGTTGCTTGACATCTGAAGGAAATCTGTGGCTGTAGAAGTGTGTTTAAACAAAAAACACATGTGTTCCAGACTGCCGTCTTTCGTTGCTCTCACTACAAACATGTCACATGTCTATATAGAGAGGACTCCTGTATCTGTGTGATGATGGATGTTCAGCATCAACGATGAAATGCCTGGATGGGCTGCAGTACCAAGATCAGCCACATGGCCATGGCCATGGCATGGGCATGGCTGTGTACCCTTTGTCAAAGATTGTCAAGACACCAACTATTGATCCTGAGCAT